ATTACAATAATTGTAGATAATATAATAAATCAATGAATAAACCATCATATACATATATTTATAGCTAATAAACGAATTAACATAAATCTTAATTGAATTCGCCCAATTAACATAAACTCTTAAATTAAGTTTCAACATTTCTTTTAATAACCTCTTAATTAGTGAAAGATCTGTTAATCATAAGAGAACAATGTTAATACATATCATGCTTATATAAACATTTACATATGATCGATACGTAAGTGCTTACATATATATCAATTATCATCATTCGCTTAGTGTATGTCAGGTCATTGAATAAAATATTAATTATATTTATAATATGATTGACCATATGACACAAACATAAAAAATTAGGATAGCAGATTGAATAAATTTTCAATTTCATAAAGCAAGTATTACATATATATATAAAGTTCATTGCCATTTAAGCGCATGATGGTCCAAAATTTTACATATTTTTATATTTTATACATATTCACATGAAAATTGAAATTTAATTACATTAAAAATTGGCTCGCCCATGTTTTTATCCCCAAGTTATTGTTTACTAGTATTATGAAAGGGTGCCAAGATTAAGTGGTGTCTCCCATGGCAACGGTGCTGCTACTGTTTTGCCAGCAAAGGGATCATAGTGGGTTTTTGGTGCTTCCATGGCCCATCAAATTCATTACTCGTACGGACATCACATTAATTAAATCCTTTACGCCTTCAAATTTTTGCTTAAAAATGTTTTATCAGTGAGTTTAAGTGACCCCAAAAGCTTTTTCTTTTTGTAATAAAGTTTTTTATTAGTTGGGAGAATGAGTGAGTGCCCGCAGTTCTCAACTCGACATTTGGTTGGGGAAAAACGAAAGACTTTTTATTTTGCTGCTATATTTTCCATCATCCTAACGTTAACCCTTCAAATCTTGTTATAATTACTAATATGACCCTACAAAGGCCAACTAGGGTTTCAATGTTTTAATTATTACTATTATATTGGTATTTATTTTATGATATTAAAATAGTTAATATGATTTTTTGGCCCTTCACTCTTTTTTTTTTTTTTTAATTTCCCTTTCTTTATTTTGTTCATAGATTTGTTGATACTAAGTTGTTTGAATTGCTTTTTCCCTTTTTACCCAATGAGTGAAATACACTTGGCAGAGTAACTTTTTTTTTTTTTATAATTAGGAAAGGCAAATTTAATTTTCTGATTTAAGTGGGAATGGATGAATTACATTACCAATATACAGAGAGATCCCTTCCCAGACGTAATTAGGTACCAAAATCTGGCTCCAATTATTAACAAGTTATCTAAAATTTTTTTGGTCAATTTGATGATTTTGTTTTTGGATTTTTATTTGTGAAAATTAATGATAAGGTAAGTAGGGTTTTTTTGAATAAATTTATGAAAATTTCAATAAAAATAATTAGTAAAACATTAAAATTGAAAATAAAAAGGACATATCAACACAATAACCAAATGAGTAAACCAATAAATAAGTAAAGGTTAAGTAAAAAAGATATTTTCATTGAATAATCTATTTAATTTTTTTATAATCAAAATTGACATTATGCATTTATGCTTTTGTATCAAAATTAGCAAAATGTACAAGTTCATGAAAAAACTGAAAAACCAAAGCCTTAATTTGCAATCTTAGCTCGAAGGGAAGCAAAAGCAGATCAAATATTACTTGCCTTAAATTAATTATTCTCTCTGTATCACTTTTTTTATTTATCATTTTTTTAGAATATCTCAAAATTATATTTTATTTTCTTTTTTGAATATCTAAAAATTTTACTTTTTATATTTTAAATTTTTTTATAATTTTTTTACTTTTTGAAAAAAATTTTAAATTTTAATATTAAATACATTAAAATTAATACCTTTTTTTTTTTAACTCCATGAAAATCAATCATGACAAATATTTCGGAGGAATGGAATATTGGTTGCGCAAGGGATTCCTGCCTTTCCAGTTGTATCTTAATAGAGAATTGTCTGTCCTAACTCCCAAACAACCTTCTCATACACAATAACGAGAGGTATATGTAAGCTATATGTCTAAGTATTTATCTTATTTATTTTGCACGTGGTGGTAATTACATGACCTTCAATTCAACCCCAGTGGCTATACCAGTTGAAGCATGAAATTAATGTTTATAGAAGACGATGATAATTAATTCTTCTTTTTCTTCAATATGGTAGGTGTGGCACCTGTGTTTTTCATCCAAATTAATCATTTGGATGCAATTGTTCATTTTTTCACTTGAGGTTGTTGATAATTGAATCCTACAATTATTAAAACTAAAATTTCAATATTTTATTTGCAAATCACATCATCATTTATGCAACTACTGACATTTATCTTACTTAACCTCTAGTTTTATTATATATAATTAAATGTAAATGATGTGCCCTATCAATTACCCTTTTGGAAGAGGAATTGAAATTAACTTTTCTGTTGGTGGCATTGCCAGTAATGGCATTTTATGAGTAAGGATTGATTATTGCAAGTAGAGATTACTAAAAATCCCATTGAATTCTAGTAGAGAAGATTATTTAACTAGAACCAATTGAAATATATATATATATATGTATATATATATGTATATTTATTTATAGATACATTCAGGGAAACTAATTAAAACAAATAGTCTCTAGAGAGTAATTTGCATGGTTGGGAATGACCAAAAGGTTTTTTTTTTTTCATTGATACACTTTGATGTTGGGCTAAAAGCCTCCAATTCAATTATACCAGTGAAAGTAAAATCAAATAATAAATCAAACACACAAGAGACAATAATTTAACGTGATTCGATCCAACTAACTTACATCCACGGATGAGAAATAAGATCCACTAGTTATAGAGAATTACAAACATACATCAAATCATCAACCTCACTCAACAATCAATACTCATAAGACACTCTCAATCTCTTTTAGTCTTATAGAGTATTCTCAACTCAAACAAATACAAACCCCAACTCTTGTGCACCATTTCAAAATAACCAAATACATACACATATGCTCTCATACATCATACTTATATAGACCCTCTCAGTTTCTTTTAGTCTACTCACAAATAAACATACACGCCCATAAGACGTAGAGTCTCAATACTCCTATAAGGTGTCTATCCCACAAAACCCTACAACTCTCTTACATCTTTTTCTCATACCTAATATTGTAGAGACTTCACTTATTTATAACCATACAAACTTGTCAATTAAAAATCTTTTTTCTCTTAGAATTTTTCTCTTGTAAGTCAAACTTGCCTATTAAGAATATCTTTCTTTTTAGAATTCTTCTCTTACAAGTCAAACTTACCTATTAAAAATCTTTTTTCTCTTAGAATTTTTCTTTTGCAAGTCTTCTTGTCCATCAAGCAATATTTGATAAATCTCAATCAAATCTCTAACAAATCTCAAACAACTCTCTTATAAGATTTGAGTCAATATTCCCAACAATTGAAATTTAATTCATACGAAGCTTAATTCAATTTGATTTCTGTCGATAAGGTGAAGATAATCAATATGCAAGTGTTTACGTTATTGTTATGGCTTTGGGAGATGATTTTTACTGTTCATAAAATTATACTACTCAAAACATGCAAATTTAAAGGCTTCTAATTAATACAATTATGGGAGAATTTTGAGTATGTGTGAGATTATTGAAGTTTAAAAATGTGCCATCCATGTATTATCTTCTTTATTTGATGTATTATTCAGGTTATTTCTATTAATAGTTCTCGTCAAAATCTTTCACTGCACTAATTAGATTAGGCATTTGCATTTATCATAATTAATACTGCATGAATTTTGTATTCAATGAAGTTTACTTTGTGTTTAGAGGGTATATAAAGAGGAAACAAAAGATTAGTTAAACATGCACATTCATTTATAAAATTTTTTCATGGTAATTATTTGCATGTTGTCGTGTTTTCAATATTCTAGTTACCACGTTATTAGTGTCTACATGTGCATAACTATTTACATCATTATTCATGAGATATAAAAGAAAAAATAGCCAGTCTTATGTTGTTCTTTACTCTACATTTTTTTTCTGATTTCTTCTTTGATGCTGCCTTTGGAACACGCCTTGAAATAATACTTTTGATGTCCCTGACCTTTTTTTATGATAGATCCGATATGTTTTTCAGTTCAACCTCCATCCCACCAAGATCAGAAATTATGTCAACATTAAGCAAAAAATTTTCTTGAACCTCTCTCTCTATATATATTTAAGTTTCAATTCTTCATTTTCTTCTTTCATCTTCCTATTTCAAATTTATTAAGAGGAAAATTACAATGCATCATGAATTTGTTAAAAAGTTGAACTTGAACATATTTCTAGAAAAAAATGGTCTGAAGAACTATATATATTTTTTTTTTGCTTTTAAGGGGATAGGTTAATGGCTTGATGGTGCATCAGCCAATTTATTATATGTATTAAATCAATACAAAGAAATAACCTAGGCAAACAACAAGAAGTAAATCATTTGCAACTTTTGTTTCATCTTTCTATTTCTAAAAATAAATTTATTCCTGTTATTATTGAAAAAAGAAAGAAGAGAAACTAAGGCAATTTAGATGTAAAAAAATGTTGATGTTAGCCCTTGTATTTATGAACTATAAAAAGTAAAACTACATCGTACTCCAACTCCAATAGAAAAATAAAAGATGATAGTACCACAATAATAAAGAAGACAAAATGCATACTTATAATTACTTATAAAAAAACTTCATACGAGTAATTAATCTATGAAATTAAAACCTATTTGAAGAAATTTACTTATAAAATTGAAGTACAATTAACGGACAAAAACACAAATTAAGTATGTAAAAAAAATACTATATATCTATAATTAAAATAATTTTTAAGATTATACTAATAAAAATAATTAAGGGAATGGCAAATAAGTAAATGTTGAGGGAATAAGGGGCAAAAGGTGGAGGAGGATACATTGGAACAGCGCAGTGTGTCTTTTTCCGATAAGCCCGGTTATTTGCTCGAATAGGGATGGAATGAAAGCTTTTCTTTTCTCTTTCCTTTATTTCTTTCTTCTTCACATATTCATATACACAGACACACCCCTCACTTCCAAATATCTTCCTCTCCTCTTACCCTACCAATTCCCATTTTCTTGGATTTTTCTGTTCCACTTCTTGCCCTAAGCCTCTCTTGCCAAATAGCTCAACCCTAACTTAGCTGTAAGTTTTTTGTTTTTTGTTCAATAAATCTTCTTTTTTTTTTTTTTTTGGTATGAAAATTCAAGTGAATTCAATGGCTTTTGCTTGCTAATGAAAGTTTTGTTTCATTACTTTGTAGGAAGTTAAAAGGGAAGCTGACTATAGGCAAAAATAAAGGAAAAAAAAAAGCCAAAGAAGTTAGCTACCTGTTTTATTACTTTTGTTAAGGCAAAGAAAATTCTGTTCCAAGGTTCTTTCTGATTCCTCCTCTCTCTAGTTATAGTAATTTTGTTTCTTTGAATGTTTAATTTTCTCTTTAGTCTGTTTTTTTTTTTAAGCTAAAAAAAGTAAACTTGATGCTTTAAAGCTTGTGTTTCAATTTGGAACCTACATGTATAAAAATGAAATCTTTTTTACTACTTGTTTTTGAGATTAAGGAGAACCGGCCTAAAGCACCCATCTTTTTAAATGAGCTGAAAATTACAGGTATAAAAGGTTTTAGCTTTTTTATGAGGATTTAATTGGCGATGGAAATTGATGATACAGTTGACATTTATGGAGAAGCTAATCATATATCTCAGGAGTTTTCATTTGTTGTTATTTTGTTGTTGTTGTTGCAGATAACTGATCTGGTTAGAGCTGAAGCTTTCTTCAAAGTACCTGAGGAAGAGTTGCAGATCTGTTGTTGTGGCTTTGGATTCTAAGTTGTACTACAAAAGATCTGTTTTTTTCACTTCAATCAGTGAAGGAAAAGAAAAATCAAAATATACCTTTTATTTTGTTATGTTCATTGCTGAGAACTCGACACCTGTTACAACAACCAACATTGTTCAAAGTGAGCAAATACGTTTATATATATATAAAAAGAGCTTTTATTCTTTGTTGGTAATTTCAGAAACATCTGATTTATTAATGGGGGTTTGTGTTGAGCTAAATAGTGTTGGTGGTGGTGGATTCTGCCATTTTTATGGGTCAGCTGCCAAAAAAAAAAAGCTTTAAATAACTGAAGCGAGAGAAAAGAGAGAAGAAATTAAGAAAGAAAAAGGGTTGGCTTCAGATCAATGCCAATCGTACAGCAACTGCTTCTTTTCTTTAGCTTAATTGTGAAGCAGAAAAGAGGGTCTGTCTCAGATTCAAGGTATATATATAGAGCAGCTATACATTGCAAGGAAAGCTTTCTATTTCAACTTTTGTTAAAGGCTTATTGTCTTTACAAGACTTTAGATTTTTATAAGGTTTTTTTAGCCCCTTAAGTACAATATAACAAAACAAAATAGCAGAAGTCAGATCTCTCTCAGCTTAGGGTCTCAGAGTCTCAGGCTCAGTTGTTGTGCTGCAATGGCCGATGAGTTAGTTACTGCTTATACGAGTTTTATTTTTGTGTGGTTAAAACTTAAAACCAGTTTGTCAAACGCCATATTTGAAGTCTAGATGCTTTTGCCTTATCTAATTTTTATTTTTATTTTTTATTTTGTTACAGACTGTGGCTGCCATTTTTCAGGCTTTGCTTTTGAAAGCACTGCAACTGCAAAAAGCTTGAACGAGGCAGGATAGTCTCCTGACTTGGACCGTGATATCTCAAAGCGTAAAAAAAGGCCTTTTATCACTACATAACCAAAGTACTCTCTGTATACTAGTCATCAATATTCAATGCATAGAACATCTCAACCCCACCTGCATTTCTTCCCTCACACCTCCACCATCATCTCCTCTTTCTCTTTCTAACATTACTCCAAAACCCTAGATTTTCTCTCTATCTCTTTGCAAGTGAAATAAACACAACAAAAGAAAAGGACAAAAGGTAAGTGGGGGTTATTGTTTGGGGTGGGGAGGTTTTGAGTTTTTAGTCTGTGACAAAAGGAATGAAATTGGTATGGAGGTGGATGACATTCAGACACAAGCCTTTAAGTTCTCGAGAGTTGGTAATGAAAGAAATGACTCAAGCAAGATAGGCCAAAAAGGTAGTGACAACTACCCTGATGATGAGGAAGACGGGGAGCTCATCAAAAGGTCTGGTGCAAACGGTGGAGGAGGAGGAGGGGTGGGTGGTGCTGGTGCTGACACTGTTGGTACTAATCCGCTTCGAGGTTGGCACCACTCTTCGAGAATTATTAGGGTTTCTCGAGCCTCCGGTGGCAAAGATCGGCACAGCAAGGTTTGGACTTCAAAAGGGTCAAGAGACAGGAGGGTAAGGCTATCTGTCACCACAGCTATACAATTTTACGATCTACAAGATCGGTTGGGCTATGATCAGCCTAGTAAAGCTGTAGAGTGGCTAATTAAAGCTGCTGCTGATGCAATTGCGGAGCTTCCTTCACTTAACAGTTCATTTCCTGATAGACCAAAGCAATTGAATAATGAGAAAAGAGAAAGTGGGGGAACAGAACAAGGGTTCGACTCAGCTGAAGTAGAGTTAGATGGTGATCCACACAATTACCAACAAAACCAAAGCCAACACCTTTCTTTGTCCAAATCAGCTTGCAGTAGCACGTCTGAGACTAGTAAGAACTCGGGTTTATCCCTTTCAAGGTCCGAGATCCGTGTGAACCGTGTAAAGGCCCGGGAACGAGCCAGGGAAAGGGCAGCAAAAGAAAAGGAGAAAGAGCATGAGTCTCGCATTGCACACCACCAAAATGTGAACCCCATTTCTCAAAACTCCTTTACGGAGTTACTTACCAGTGGTATTGGCAGTGTTAGCAACAATAATACTAGTCCTACAGCTTCAGCTCATCAAAACCCCAATGCGGAGCCTGATTTTTTCCACAAGGCTAATACTGCCAGGCAGTGGCCTGTGACTCAAATGGATTACTTTCCCACTGGGCTCTTAGGCCCTTCTTCCTCTTCAAGAAGTCCTCATTCTTCAGGATTTCCAGGACAAATCCAACTAGGAAACTCTTTGCCACAACCAATATCAATTCCACCATTCACTGTGTCGGGTGAAAATCATCAAGAGTTGCAGCATTTTTCGTTTGTTCCAAATCCTGACCATCTGATCCCGGTGGCGACAACACAACCGGGGCCAGGGGGTGACTACAACCTTAACTTCACAATCTCTTCCGGCCTTGCTGGTTTCAATAGGGGGACCCTTCAGTCCAATTCTCCGTCTTTTTTGCCTCATCACCTCCAGAGGTTTTCTTCCATAGACGGATCATCACCCTTCTACATTGGTACACCACCAATGGAGAATCATCACTACCATCAGTTCCCAGCTGGATTAGATGGCCGCTTGCAGCTCTGCTATCGGGATGGAAGCAAGAGCTCAGACCAGAAAGGAAAAGGAAAGAACTAATCAGTTTCCTGAAGACGTTTCCTCTTGACCCCATCTTTTCTCTGGTAAGCTGAACAGCCTCATTTAATTAAAGTTCTTTACTAGTAGTATTTGACATTCAAACGTATTCCCTTTGCTTTATTTTTCTTAATTAGCTTCTATATTTTTGTGCCTGTTTAGCTCTTTTGCTTCATTCTTGACAAAAGGTTTTTGTTTTTTTTCATTTTCCCTCTCTTTCGCTGATGTCTAGAGTTGCTTTTTTATTTTTCATTTTTGGCTTGCTTTTTGGATTTACGTGTTGTGCTTGTTTATAGCGGTAGTACCATGAATCACTCACTTTCTTGGTATTAATAAAGAAGTCTCCCATTGGGGCGATTTATTTTGTGGGTATCAAGTATTATACTGTCTTTTTTATGATTCCTGCATGGATTGCTGTGAATAAGGATCGGCTGGTTGTCTGCTTGTTTGTTCTCTTCCTGGTTCCCTTCACCCTAACATCTATGAATCCATTGCCAGGTGTTAGTTTCTTGATGGCCAAGCCTCGCTGGGCACTGAATAGAACAATTATAGTTTACTTTTGAATTTTGATTGTAATCAAAAGAAAAGTTTTACTTTTGAAATAGGATCGATGTGACTGAACCTTAATTTAGTTCTGCCACAACTGCACCACATGGCAATGGATCAGCTAACTGTCAGGTTTTTGAGTTGTTAAAGGATTAGGGGTAAATTAGATCTGGAAAAAAGGAAAAATCCATGCATGTAAGACCTCGAGCTTTCAAACTTCAAGACAAATGGTTGCTTCCAAGGTAAGTGTTTTTCTAGGTTTTGAAAGGATGAAGGCAGATTTTAATTTTATATGTTATTGTAAATGAGCTGTCACTGTTCTTACTGTAAAAATTACTAAATGTAAAGACAAACAAAGAAAAAGTGTCAGTAGTTTGAATTCATTTAAACCAATGTGCTTGAAAAGTTGAAAATTGATAATTTGCTTCATTTGATGACCAAAAAGATTAATGATAGAAATCAATTATCAAACTTTCCTTTTAGGCCAAAAAATAATAAATTAATAAATGAACAAAATAAGGCAACAATTACAAATTGTACTATTAGAAAAGAAAATCTCATCTAATAAAGAAATTTGTAAATAATTAAGCTTCTATTAAAAACTTAAGAAATTCTGCAGCAAAAGAAATTGAAACTCAACATCAACAAATTAAATGTTTTAGTGATTTCTAACTTGGGAATTTAAATATTTGATTATTTTTATTTAAGAATCTGAATAAAAGAATATCTGAAGTATTGGATAAAGGTTAGTTTAACATTGCTCTTGCAATTGAAAAAAGTTTAAATTGAAAAAATTGAGTTTAAAAAATGTGATGATAAAAATATGGTTAAGTCAATTTTATTTTTTTTTTGTTGTTTAGCATTGCATTTGGGTAAAAAAAAACTTTTAAATGCAAAAGTTACTTTCAACGAGTCCTAAATCTTATTGTAGAAGACTATAAAGTAAATCATTTTCCTTTCTTCCATATGTCTATTATAGTTTTATCTTAAGACTTACTTTCTGACAGACCACTAAAGATATAGGAGAGAAATAAAATGTAAAATGCTGCCTATTCTAGTAGCAAGGTTTATGATACAAAAATATATGAGGATGGTTTAGGAAATAAAAGACAAGATGGTTTAGCTGTTACCTAAATCTTTATAATAAGTCCTACCAAAAAAAAAAATCTTTATTCTGTTGAATTCCTTAAATTGCTATCACCATTTCTTAACTTTATTCAAGAATTTCCTAGATCAAGAAAAAAAATGGTTACTTCTTTTGAGAGCACATTCCACTCAATTGTTAAAGTTGTCTTTATAAGGGTGACTTAGAGTGCTAGCTAGGGTTATTTCTTTTTTATTTTAGGTAGAAAAGGAAACTGCTAAAACTTTAGATTGATATTAGGATCTTGATATTAGCTTGCATGCATCTTCTTCTTGATGTTTTAGACGTTGACATTCTCTTTCTTTGGCTTTATTTTCTAAAGGAAAAAAAGAAAGGAAAAGAAGTGATGTATTCTCTTGAAATGGTAGCTTTTTATGTTGAACAAGGTTTTCTTTTTTTCTTCTTGTGGTCTTTTATCTTCACCAAAGATTCCCTTTTGGTGTCAGGGATTTTGCGTTTTGCTTTGTAGCTTTGAATAAATTTGAACAAGGCTTTTGCAGATTTGAACAGGTTGATAAGTTTTAGGTATTTTTATCACTTTCTAGTACCTTAATATTTTTAAATAGAGAAATGTCATAGCAGAAGTTTTTATGAATTGTACATGAATTACATGGATTTTTTTAGAAACATGGACAATGTGTACAGCCACAGCTTAATGCATTGTGCATTCAAGTTTGCTTTAATTTTAAAATACTACTAGTAGTTTCATACTTGGGTGAGTCACAGCAAAGCTGAAAATTCTATCAATTGAAAGAAGCCATAGTTTATAAGCCCCCTGCCTTGCTGATATGCTCTATCTAGAGTGTCAGTTTCCTTTAGGTTAATTGCTCTTCAAAAATCATACATCTATATTTATATGGTGTCTGTTAAATATTAAAAGAGAAAATGTGCTATAATTTAGATTTAAAAGTGAATGAAAGGTTAATGCAACCAAATTTAACTGTTCTAGGTAGGGATGTAAATAATACATTAGTACTCGTAAGCTACTCGGGTTCGATTCGAATAAAATTCGAATTTGATTCGATTATTATTGAGTTAAGCTCGAGCTCAAGTAGCTCGACTCATTAATCGAGTCAAATTTGAATATTCTTATACCCAATTCAAGTAGTTCGTAAGCGTAATCGAGCTTTTATATTTAAATATATTTTTATTATTTTAATTAATAAAATATCTCGAACTCGAGTACAAATAAGCGAGCTTTTGTTGAATATAAGAATTGAGCTTATTTTTATATATTAATCAAGCCTAATCGAGCAAGTTTGAGTAGTTTCGATATCTATCTCGAATCGAGTTTGAATAGCTCGAAATTAGAAAAATAAAATTTAATCGAGTTCAAACCAAGTTTCGAGCCTTAAATTTTGAATCAAGCTAGAGCTCGAGCTTAATACTGTATCGATTCAAATTTGATCAATTACATCTCTAGTTCTAAGGACTTGAAAGATTCCTAGATTTCAATCAAATATTTTCTAACTTCATTAATGAAATTATGCATATTGCAATGACTGGAACATAACTCACCCTCATATGATATTGGTCTGCCTTGTTAATGCATTTAGGTATATAATATTTGTTGTATATATTTTACTTATACTCTGTTTGATAAGAATGATGGAAAACTTATTAATCTAATGATTAAAATTCATAATCATTTTCCTACTTTATAGCTTAATTTTTCATCTTTACCTTTTTTCATCATTTGTATCAAGCAAAACCTTAGTGTTTATGCTCAAGATTCTTGATACATAGGAAGAAATAGAGGAGGGATTGCTTGTTATCTTCTTCTTTTGAACATGATTTTCAGTTAGTAACTTAACAAAATTTTGAAGTAGCAAGATATATACCATACATTAAAATCCAAAAACTTCTCAACCAAACACCATGGGCTCTTTAAAAACACTAGTTGAAGTCACTCTTAGGTTCAATGGAGTTAACTTATGCAAAAGAAAATCTCCCCCGGATATTATCAAAGTTAGATGTTAGTAAAGAAACATTATCCAAAGAATAATTCCTGCTTCTCTCATAGCTGAATTGTTTAGCCTTGGTAAATGTCTTCTGAGAACAGCATTGAGTAAGAATAGCATAATAATTCTGGGGATAAGGGATTGAGGATGTGTAATTGGTGGAATTTGAAGTGTTCTAATATGCTTTGGGGCTGCATAAGGCTAGAATGAATATGGTAATGTGGCTGGAGGCGTTGCATTACAAAAATTTTAAGGTGAAAGTGGATTGCCATATACCTGCTTGAATCCTCTGTTATGCTCGTCATAGAAGAATAAATCATTTTTTCTGCACTATTTGCCGCTATCTTGAAGAAAGGACTACTAATAATAAGGTGATTAGCTAACCATAAAAAAAAAAAAAATTAAGATTGACACTTATCAAAAGGCATATTCTCCAGTTTGGCCAAACACTTTGTATCATTTTTAAAGTCCCCTTTTCAGAGGTTTGACTATGTATAAAGAATAATTGTCATTGAAGTTTTATTTATTTAGGCAGCAAACTATTATGCCTAGTTGGACACAATTTTGAATACAAAGTCTTAGCCACTTTCTATTACACTAAATGAGCAGGATTCAGGTATTTAAGTGGGTAAGTTCCATTTCTATTTGAGGAAAGGCTGGGGATGGACACACTAGACAGTTTGCAGTTAGAACTAATATTGTTTGACATATGCCTTACTGTTTCATCCAGCAGCTTTGGAAGTTGTGCAAGGTTAGTATTGTGCTTTATTAGTTGACATCTTCTGCAAGTGGGCGTTTGGAAAAGTGCCAAAGTGGGTTGAATTTATTCTGTTAGACATGCATTCTGTATTATTGGAAAAGGTAAAGGGATTTATTTTTTCCCAAAGGATGTCAGGTGTAGTGAAGAAACTTCGAGGAATGATTTTTCTATAGTTTGCCATGAGGATAAAAAGTCAAAGCATACTGGATCATGTGGGTTGGTTTGGATGAATGATATGCCTCAATCCCAAATTTGTTGTATCATAGGCGGGCAAGTATAAGTTTTACTTTTTCCTCTCTGCTGATTCAATAACTGGGTTTATACATTGAGTGGTAACACAAACATATTTCCTCCTTACCCCAATGTGGATTATAGGTGTGATGATCAAACAACAATACAGTTAGTCAAATGGAATGCCAGTAGTGCATGTTCTTGTGCAGTTCTGAGATTTTACTTATTTATCTCTTTGTGGTTTCTTTCACAAAGGTCTTTTGCAAAAATTCATGGTTTTGCTACAATTAGTCCCTTAATTTACTATTAACTATAGAAAGAGGTCATAGTGAAACTAGAACTGGTTTAGGTTTTATGAAATACAAAGGCGAATGGCGGCATTGAACAAACGCTGCCAGAAACATATACACTGACTTGACTGGACTCTCTCTTTATCATGCACGCTTAGCTGACCTTTTTGCATGTAGATGTAAATGTTTTACATGCGCAAACTGCTTAACTGTATAAATGCAAGATAGATGATAAAGAGGAATTGCAATCTATGCTTCCACTTCTGTTTTTTAGTGAAGTTTGTTAAGAGGACATTCTAGTTGACAGAAATAGTATCAATTATTATTCATAAATTCCGATTAACTTATCCAATATCTAACCATCTTATTTCAGCTTATCATTCAACTTTACATCAAAATGGCCAAGCATTGCTTGCAGAGAGCAATGCATGTAAACTTCCCTTTTTCTCGAACATCATGCTTGTTCATTTTCACAGTTTGATCATTCCTAACAAATTCCTATCATAGCACCTGTTGCACACCTTGCCAAGTACCCAAGTTTCTGATGATGAAACTTCTGTCAGAAACACATTGCAGTTCCCTTCTCTTTCCAATTTCAACCATATATGCTAATTTTTGGTGCAAAATTTTTGGATGCAGAAAAGCAAAGATGGAGGAAGCGATGGCGAAGCAGTGACAGTGAATGCATTCCTTTCCCTGCATTGGGCGATACCTTTATTATTGTGCTTTGTTAGTATTTCTGGTTTATCCATTTTGAAGTCGTGATTCAGCTGGCATTGGCGTAATGGGATATATTTATTTATGCGTGCAAAAAGCATTGTGTGTTTCCAACAAGTATATTCGACTGAAGTAATTCTTTTTTCCCCTATCGATCTCACAATTATTCTGAAAATTGTCTATATTTCCTATCTATTTGTTGAGAAAAGTGGCCTCATCAATGAATCTGCTTTATTAAGCCACAAAGCCCTTCTTTCTTACTTATTTCTTCAAAACATTAAACCTTATTTTCTTGTGGTTAAGGTTGATAACCAATGGCAGCTCCCATATGTTCTATCGTTCACATGCCTGCATCTAGTAAAAAATACTGTAATATGGTGTTTTTTTTTTTGTTTGAGATCTTTCGATAGACGATAGTCACTTTAAAATTCTATTAATATAAAATCAAATTGGATCTTATAAAAGAGGTAAGCTCTCCTAATGTTTGTTCTCTTCATTTACAAGATTCTTAAAGAAAATCGAACTTCTTAATTACTTCAATCAACAAACATTGATATTGTGATATGATTTTATGTACATATGTAAAAGCAATTTGCAAGCCTTCTATTATTATTATTATTATTATTATTATTATTATTATTATTCTTGCTTGGGGGGCAATTCTAAGGATTAATTGTAGCTAACTCATCTTAGGCAGGTGTAGGTTCTATATCATACAATAAGTTTTAAGTTCCCCAAGATTAATTTGCTTTAATTCATAAGCTTACAAAAGGTTGGTTCATTGACTTCAGCTATTATTACGACGTGAATTTGGATTGACTATCCTAACACTTAAGCCCATATGGGTATGGCAAGGAAGAATTAATTGCAGCTGGAAAGCAGTGTCAAGGCTTTAAGCCCGAGTATAAACTCAAGTTCTCCCCCATCTAGCTAGCGCCTTGAAGATATTTCATAGATTGTCATAACTAAGAGGCAATAAAACCAGTGGCCCATCCCCCATCTAGCTGCCAAATTAGTGCATTCATAGAGCCATTTGAAGGCAATTTTGTATCTTTAGATGATTTACAGTCCACTTAACCATTGATTATAGTTGATTGGATTTCACATGAGCTTGTACTGAATATGGGAACTTACCATCATTGCAGTTGTTGAATTTCACGTGAGCCCAGTGACCACTGCCTCGGCTAGCTATAAGCCTATAACACTTTTTCAAGTACTTATAATTCCTTGAATATTTCGTCCCTTAATTCGTTCTAGCAAACAAAGTGACTCCTACTTTTAATTAATTTGTAAAACTAATAGATTTGCTAAAGAAAAAAACAAAAATGTTAGAGATTAAAGCCTCTTTTGAAGGCTTTATCTAGCGTTTGTGAATGATTTTGTGACTTTTTTGCACGTAAAAAGGACATGTTAAAAAACAAAAATGAGTGGGGGCATGAATGAAGAAAAAAAAGGTGAAAATCAGGACTGATATTTGATTTGTATAATAACCAATAAGAACCCACCTCTAATTGTTTGAGAAACAGTGATTAAAAGTTAAAGCTCACTTTATATATTTCCAGAAAAGAAAGTGGGGGAGCGTGAGGGAGTGATCTCCTTATCATAGAGAATTAAAGTGCATTTTTCGCTTCGTGATAGAATTGTTGTCCTCTTGGTGTGTTTTTATTGCGATTATTATGATGATTTCCGTTTTCCACTACTTTACCTCCTTTAAAAATCACAACTCTTACCGGCTTAAAAATAAGCATGTGGGGCTTCATTTTCTATATCTGTTCTGTTCCTCATATTTTAATTTCCCCACTTTCTTTCCCTTGATCTTCAATTGGGGAAGATCATATTTTATACATTACATTAAATAATCTAATTACGACATCTTCATCAATTCTGGTAAGGCTTTGCTTTCCTATTAAAAAACAGATTATTATGGAGAAATATTTGTGTATAAAAATGGAGGAAGGATAGGGAGAAGAAATAAGATGCTCAAAGTCAAAGTGGGTATTTGAGATAGTAGGCGAGTGCAAGAGTCCAGAGTCGATTCACTTGGATTGCAAGTATGATAGGGAAGAAAGCTCTTGTGATAAACAGATAAAAGGAAGAAGCAGAACCAGCTAATTAATTGAACCCAAAAGGAAAAAAAAATCTATAAAATAAAAAGGCCAAATCAATCAAAATTATAAACAAGTGGTGAATGGCAAACTGATAATTTAATTACAGCCTCACACCCCCACAATCTTTATTGCCAAATCTCCCAACAGCATGAAATAAATTATGAATTAACAAAAAAAAAAAAAAAAAGCAGTATTCATATGTCTTTTTCTCTCTCATGTATGATAAGGTTGCTTCTTCAAATATAAAAAACATTCTGGTTGTTCAGCCGATGTAGTATAATCTTTGATGGTCTTTAAAGATTAAAAAAAAAAGAAGAAAAAAAACTAATGAGTGAAAAGTGGAAACCAAAACGAAGAAAAAGGAAGGGAAAATCAGAGTTGCTAACGAATGCTGGCTGAAGATTTTGCCCGTTACCAGCTGATAGTTTCTCGACTGATATAACTATCTATTTTCTTTTGTATCAAATTGCTCTTCTTTTAAAGACAAACCAATTAAATTCACAGGAAAAATAGTTCTTCATTTGTGCTAGGAATGGAAGGCCTTGGTGTACCTAGAATCTGTTTTCAACTAATTTATGATCCTGGTCTCTGCTTTTTGGGATAAATAATGGTTCTGGCCATTTAATCAATGGCCTTTAGTTTGACCAAAGATGATTTGGGAAAAAATAATTACAAATGATTTCCATTAACAGTAAAGAGTAACTACTTTCCACCGGGAAGTTTGAGGATATGTGGATGCATCCCTGAATAATAGTCGAGTCAAAAACTCCCGTGACCATGCTCAGATAAAACAGGCGTATTCTTTTCTGGGTGCCTTCGCCAGTTTGGGCACATTCAGAACGTAGAATGACATAAAGGATCAAAAGGTTGTACCGCTATAGAGACTTTTAGCTTATCGTTTCCTCCTAACTATAAACATAGAAGCAAATAAAGCAACATAGATGATATCACATCAGCCATTTTAGTAAGCTAAATTGGCTAACTAAGCTTCAAGAATATTGGTGGAGTTGAAACAACCACGAAGCAGACCCCTTTCATCATATCCAACACAGTTTGTTCAAAGTGGAACCCATTGTTTTATCATCACTGGATTTGTATCGGAACTTATGCAATTAATATAAACCCCGAAACTACATCTGAGTTCCGACCTCTACCATGCATCCATAAATCTGGTTAATTCAAAGTCTAAGGAATTTGCAAAGATAAGACCAAAAAGAATTCTTGAAACTTTGACAAAGTGTACAGTAAATTTACGGAAGAAACATTGAAAGCTAAGTGCAAACTACATTTCTTGATGAACTTCATAAGTATATAACGTCAAGCATGACATCTTCATACCTACAATATTCACATATAGAGGCATTATAGATAAAAAGTAAAAGGACTAGAAACTCAATTCTCTTACAACATCAATCTAGTTGCAGGTGTGCACTCTTTACAAGCATATGCCTGAAATAAAAACAACCAGCAGATGCATGTTCGCTTATCAGTTGAAGCACAAAAGCTGAAACGCTAGCAGTGAATTATCAACATGCATGGATATCTTTCACTGGTAGTCCAAAGCAAGTTTTGGCTTTCATAGGATACTGCCCCGTGATTAAGCTATACAACAAGAAACAAAATTGTTGTCTGACCAACAGCTTTCCAAAAGCATGCTATCCCTTCTTACTCTTGACCATTGTGCTTGACCGCTGTCCCTGAAAAGCGCAAAATGAACTTTCAAATTTAGAAGAGAAGCATAAATAAAGAGGTAATGCAATCAGATCCATAACTAAAAGCAGAATCAAGAATAGCAGGCATGCTAGTTTTGGCCACCAGATGCATTCCGTGATGTTTCCTTGCCCACCTATTTCAAGCAAAAGGTTTCTCACAACTCATAAAAATTGAAATCTAAACCCCCCATTGACCACCCAATACAATCATGCTTGCTTTCCTTACTAATTTCATAATATATATATATATATATATATATATATATACAAAACAAAATGATCATGAAACAAGATAATTTCAGCTTATTTATATGCATCACCAAAAGACACCAAGAGCATATTTATCACTTAAAACCATGTAACTAGAAATGGTCTGATAGTGAACAAGTGAATGCCTACTAACAGCACACATGCCTATTAAACAAACATAGAATCAATTTACATTAAACATTTAAACAGTTCCCATACTAACATAAACAATTCAAACATCAAATTACTTTTTCCAACAAATTAATCAACATGGTCCAATACATCCAGCATTTAAGACTTTTACCTTCGCAGAGGAAGCGGACATCAAAACGAGTTCATCTCCAAACAGTAAGTCCTTCTCTTAACCAGCATCTTAGCTGCAGTCCCATAAGGCTCTTCAAAAGCGGTTGATAACCAAGAAGCATCCGACACCTCTTTTTTCAAAGCAGATTGTTCACTAGGCCTAATAGCAACCAAAGTAGCACCTTTTAAGACAACCCCATGTGGCAATTCCAAATGAGGAGCATACCAAAGCCTCATATTCAACGCAGGCACCAGTGTCCTTTTCGAAGCAGAAGAAGCAGATAATGGCTTCACTCTCAACTCCTCAAGCTGATCCCTGTTCATACAAAGCACCCCTTGTCCATCCGCATCAGTTAAAACCAAGCTATGCAGCGTCTTATGCTCCGCAATTATCGGTTGAAGCAAATAATGCCTTGCTGATGCTGCGATTAACGAGCTAATCGTCCAAACAACCCTTAATTTCAAACCTCCGTTGGTATAAAACGACTCGGGAATACTACCATTATCATCGCCGTTGCCAACATTTGAACCGCAGGTAACGTTATCGTTGCTGCAAAACCCACCGTTACCATATTCCGATACTTGCAAATGCACGTTGTTAACAACGGAAGCAGCTCCGAGGATGACGCAGTTATCAAGGGTTGACCCGAAATCGGCTCTCCATTTCAACAGAACTCCGTCTTCGATCCCTAACTCGCCGCTCGGTAATTCGATTCGGAGGAAACGAATCTCCTTGAAATTTCTAAGTACTTGCGTCGGAGAATGATGGGTGACCCCACCCTGATCCATTTCACCATCATCATCACCACCGGGGCCAACGGATAAGGAAGATGGAGTGTTAAGGGTTTCATAGAGATTGGGCCGTTTTGGGCCGAGGAATTGGCCCAAAGCTTGGAGGGGTTTGACAATGCCTCCGAGAACGAGACGGAAGATGTTGGTAAAAGGACTGGAGGAACGTGATTTATCGGAGGAAGAGGAAGATGAGGAATAATCGTCGTCGGGGATGACACAATCGACACGAACGACGACGTTTTCGACTTGTGGAACGAGAGAGTGAAAACGACGCGAGACAACGCAGCATCGGCCGAGAGCTTTAACGTCGCCGATGTTGTCGAAGATTAAAAGGAGAAGAGAGTCCGGAAGACGGTCGAAGTGATCGATTTGCTCCGGATGGATTCTGTGGATGGGATCTGAACGAACCGAAGACATTTTTCCCCTCTTTCCCTTTTTTTGTTCTTTTGGGTTAAGTTTCTACCTGAAGGGAATCCTTAAATTTTTTGCTTGGAAGAGAAGTGTGGTTAGTTGGGATAGATCTGGGATGGAGGGGAAAGCTAGTTTTTAAGGGAAGGGAAATAAGGAAGAAATTTGATGAGAAAAAGAAAGGGAAAGAGGGAAAGGGAGGGTGGGGGTTAGGGTGTGATTTCGTTGTTTGGAGAGTGGGGTGGGAGGGGATGGAAACGGAAATGGAAATGGAAAGGGAAATGGTGGGATGAGATAGATGCACGGTTTTTTGTCTTTTACTGAGAAAGAGAGAGGATAATAAAAGGACGTTTGTAACAGAGACGAAAGAAACGAAAAAATAGAAAAAATAAATGTGAATATGACGAGAGAAAGGGAGTGATGGAAAAATAAAAATAAAAATAAAAGAAACAAAACATAAGCAATTCCTTTGCTTTTTTGAATTTTTGTTTAATTAAATTTGGTTAGATAATTACAACTTGGCTTTTTTATTGTTGAATGAGTAAGGAAATTTGGAAAGAGTGGTAACTCTTCAATAAAAAAAAATGGGGGTCATTTATGAAATATATGATCAGCTCTCGATCACCGATGGCAAAGAATCCTGTTTTATTATTCAATGACAATCCCGTGGCAACACGAATCACTACCCATTCTTTATCTTAAAATAAAGTTTTTTTTTAAAGCAAATATTATTAGTATTTTAAAAAATTATTATTATTTACTAAATTTATTAATAAAATATTAATTTTGTAATCAAAATTTGATATTTGACCACCTCAATTATTAAAATATAGTAATTACTTATTATTATTAATCCCTTTGATTAAAAATTTATATTTTGTTGTGAACTAAATGATTTTCTCATGTCGAGGCTATAGTTTCCATACGTTAATATTACTGTCCTTTCACGGGCAAAGCCAAAGGGGTGGTGATAATTTGATAAAAGAACGAAACAAATCTAATCCTATCCAACTCCTTTTTGACGAACAATAGTTCATAAAATATAATATAGTAATAAAATATTAAATTTTGAGTTTAATATATAGTTTCATTTAAAATTTAATCCTTAAAAATCTGAAAATTAAATAAACAATGGAAAAAGCAAGCGAGTGAGTAGCAAGTGAAAGTGAGCAAGTAGCTAGTCCTGCCCGACCATACTTTTATGCTTTAAAATAATAATAATAACAAAGTTACAGTACTGTTTTGTAAAGCCCAATTTCTAGCCCCAAAACGGGCCTAACAAAAATCACACCGCTGTCGGCAAAACTTCACACTTTCAATCTTCAAAAAAACTTTTTTTTCCTTTTGAGCGGTAATAACTAATAAGTTATTGGATATGAAAATTTCTTTTTTGGATAATCAATGAAATGGAAAAGAATTGGATTTTATAAAATTCTAATATTAAGAAAACAAAAATTAGTAAGACGATTTCTAGTATGTAATTTTCTTTTATAAAAGGGTAAAGAAAAAAAAGACTTATTCCTATAAATCCCATAACAAAGTTTGACCAGTCAATATTCAAGAAAAACTTGGAGTAAAAGGAAAGATATAGTAGCATACGAAGAAACAGTCTGTGTCATTTAATTTTAAAAAGACCATTTTTTTCTCTCTATATTAATTTTGGTTTGAATGTAGATCAATAATTCAATATGTTTGACAATAGGAGTTGTTGGAGATTCGAATTAGAGGAAGCAATGTGACTCAGCAAAAAGCAAATAGTTTTTCAAACAAATGAAGGAAATTTCTTAATTGGAGAATCTGGTTTACCTTGCGTTTACGATATATATATATATATATATATATTTTTAGAAATTTACATCAAACTTGTTGCTATATTATATATGGTTTAATGTTAAATTTTGTCATTATATTTTAATTCGTCAAATATTATTCTTTTATTTTTACTTTTTGTTGATTTTTGAAAAACATAAAGAATTTCAATGAAATTTATCACTCGTATCAATAAATATTTCATAAAATATTTAATTTATTATTTATTAAAAATAATAAAATTATTGTGATAAAATTCAAAAAAAATGTACAATAGTAAAAGTCAATATTGAATCACAATAAAAAATTTGATCTTAACATCTATAAATATATATTTTTTCATAGTGGAAGAGTTGGTTTGATCAACCATTAGAAGGCAAAATTTTTATTCTTTTGAACATAATTAATTATGCATAAAGACCAATTCTATTGACCAATAAAAAGGTTGTAGTAGTAAGTTTCCTTCTAATTTTATCACATGCCCATCAAATCTACAAACATTTAAAAGTAAAACAAAATTAAAGCAACTCGGGCATCATATATAATTTAGTAGGCGTAGAATTTTGAATCCGAAAATACTATTCCTTCCTTTTGTTTCTGATAACGCTTTTGTTTTAATTGCTAATGGCCTCTTTAGATATAGGTATTGTATTTTAGTTTTTGGTTGTTTAAAGAATTCTCCCCACCCCGACTTAGTAATGTTGATTTAAGGTTGAAAAGAAGTAGAGATTATTGAAAGATTAATATTAAAACTATGGAAGCATTGAGTAGGGTTGGCTGGTCTGTGGTCCTCCCTAGCTCTTTAGCCATTATAAGTATGATGTAACATCTCAAGCTAATTCCAGGACCCAGCATTGGGAGGAAAATCTGATTTCATATATAAATATATATAACTGTAGACAATCACAATCAAATAAGTTTCATTATATATTAAAAAGTACTAAATTTATGAAAAAACTAATAAAATCCTAAGTTGAGATTTGAATCTGAAATTTAATGGTTTTAATCTTTTAGAGTGTTTTTCCTTGCATTGGAAACAAAATTTATTGATAATCTCATGCCTTTTTATGTCAAGAGTGATAATAATGAATTAATTGCAGTCAAGTAAATATTTAGATTTGTTGAAGTTACTTATGAAAAAGTTTTAGGTGGATCTCACTAAGCAAGATATGAAGGGTAAATCTTTCACAAAATCTCAATAAATATCATGATATTAAGCACTTTTGTTCATAGCACGTTCTTATAAACTGAACTTTTGGAGTGTGAATTATAAAAGTCACAAGTCTTAACGTTTCAAACGACGCAGACACTGATGGAAGGATCAAAATGTTACGAATTTAAAAGTTTGGAGATCAATAAGTGATTTTTAATAATTTGGAGACCAATATAATATTTCGCCAAAATTTTAAAAATTATTCTTATTATTTACTCTCACAATTAAGCCAATGAACAAGTGAATGTCTCTTCTAAGATGGGCTGGAGTGTGATTTATGAGATGGAAAAGGGTTTTTTTTTATTAAGTAACTCAAATCCTAATTTTTTTTTGTTATTTCCTTATTCCACCAGCAAGAAAATTTTGATTATAATATGCTTGAAATTTTAAATATAGTGACAATTATTGTGGATGAATCAGAATCTCTCGGCTAGCTACCAAACTTCTTGAAAACTCTGGCAGTTTGGTACTGGCAAATTGCTTGTGAATTCTGATAAATAGCATCATTATTGTGGAAATTTTGTTGTGCAATTAATAGCATATATGTTATATTTAAGGATGTAATCAATTGAATTTGAGTCGATATAATATTAAGTTCAAGTTCGAGTTCAATTTCAAATTCGAGGTTCAAAATTCGGCTCGAACTCGTTCGAATCGACTCGAAATAAAAATCAAACTATTCAAATTCGTTCGATTAATATATAAAAATAAGTTTGATTTTTATATTTGACAAAAGTAAAATTATTTGTACTCGAGCTCAAACTCGAGTTTGAGATATTTTATCAATTAAAATAATTATAATATATTAAAATATAAAAACTCGATTAGACTCGCTAGCTACTCAAAACGAGTATAAAAATGCTCAAACTCCTTTCAATTAATAAGTTGAACTACTCGAGCTCAAGCTTCACTTGATAATAACCGAGATGAATTCAAATTTTATTCCAATAAAACTCAAGTAACTTACGAGTACTAATGTATCATTTATACCCCTAATTATATTTTTTTTTGTTTGTTTGCATGTTCCTTAAGTTTTCAAGTTGGTGTTAACAAAACCAAAATAGGAGGTTCTGATTGGATAGCTTGGAAAGAATGAAACGAAATGATAATGTCTAGAACTGTCCAACTCCAACAAATTCTCTTCATTTGAATACAATGATGTAGACACCAAATTTTGCTCGAGTTTACCAGATAAAATTTCATTTTTTAATTTTGTTAAAATTAATAATTAAATGTAATATTAAAAAATTTTAAAAAAGAGGGGACATGGTTAGATATGATGCCATGCACAGCACCAGCCTACCTATCTACCCCTGCACAGCACCGTACCCATGAAACCCTTACCCAGAGCCCTTGCACTTCACCTGCCTCAACTACCTAGAGGCACGGGCCTTACCTTACCATGGCACCCATACCTTGTCAGGCACCTACTCCATCTACCATCCTAGATGTCCAACCCCATAAAAGCACCTAGCTTCCTCCTCTTTCAGAACTCTTGGATGTATTTCCCTTCCCACGCATGTACCAACACCCGCAGCTAGAACCAAAAAACCAGACTCTGGGCACCTTAACCAAGACTTCATACTCAACCCCCACAATATGACCACGAACACAACTAAAGGTCCAGGCTTTGGTCCCCGAACAACCCAGCCTTTCTACACTAGCTTTCGTCCACAAGACCCAACCACCCACCAACAGTAGCCCTTCCCTTGTTGGTCCAAAAAACCACAAAACCCCCCACCCATTAGAAAACTAAAAAACCCCAAAAAAATAGCACTCAAATAAAAAAACACAATCCTCCATGTATGGAAGAACCATCAACACTGAGCTACTTGTAAAAAAAAAAATCATTGCCAGTTTTGATTTAAAAAAAAAAAAAAAAAACCAAAATTTCAAACCTTGATTTACGTCAATCGGAGCTATTTTCCGTAAAAAAAAGGGTAGATTTAAGCTCAGAAGATTAAAAAAAATTTTAGGTAAAGTTTGATATTTTTCGATTACCGACGACTACTAACAACTACCTCAAGCGACAGTCAGCTCAATGGTATGGTACCAAATTTTGGCCAAACTAGAGAGATTTTTGGAGCTAGAATATTTTCTTTTTCTGAAGAAAGGATAAAATAAACCAAAAAGAGTTGACTTTTATATTTAAAATAAATAAATAAGCAAAACGACGTCATTTTAAAAAGGGAGGATTCGCATATGCCCATGACCTAACCTAAGATCTGCACAACTCGACATGATAATTCGCTTCAGCCAGCCCTCAGTCAATTCAACCAAATCGTTCGTCGAATTGCCTTTTTTTCGATCCAGTTGAACCGACGTTGACTTAACCATTGACCGCTCTGGTTTAAGTAAATTTTTTATTTCATT